TTCAAACATAGCAAAGGATACCAAGTGTGCTAGAACCAAAGGAACATACATTTTTTTCTAATATGATCGGTGAATATGACTTCAGTAACGTATCTAAGTTGAAGGTGACAAAATTTTCTCTTATTATTGATGAGACAACAGACATTTCTACTATCAAACAACTTGTTCTAGTAGCTAGACATGATGATACTGAAGTTCAGAAGACAGCGGACAAATGTCTAACACTTTTAGAAATTAAAGACACAACTGCTCTTGTAATTTATAATTGCATAGAGGCGTTTTTAACAGTAATGAAATCCCCTTTGAAATGCTAGTGTTATGATGGGAAGCAAAGGAGGAGTCCAGCATCTCTTAAAACAGAAAAATCCTCATATCTTCATACAACCTTGTGTTTGCCATTCATTGCACTTGTGTGCTTCTAAAGCCTGCACTGCACTGCCACATTATTTAGAAGAGTTAGCCAGAAAGATTTTTTAATATTTGAGCTATAGTCCTAAGCGCCTAAATGAATATAAAGAATTTCAAACATTTACAAATACCAATCCTCAAAAAATTCTCCACATTAGCTGCACAAGATGGCTTTCCCTTGAGCAAGTGGTGAAAAGAATTTTAGAACAATGGCCTGCACTTTTATTGTTGTTTACATCTGCTGCATTAGAAGATGGCATTCCTATGGCTTCAAGAATTCTAGAGGGATTACAAAATCCCATTACAAAAATGTATTATGCTTTCTTAGCTTACATTTTGCCTGACATCAATAAGCTCAATTTGGAGTATATCAAGCAGAAACATTTAGAATTCATAAGTTAAGGAATTCTATTAATACTAGTGTTAAAGGGATTCTCAGTAATTTCATCAAGCGAGAAATTCTGAAACCTAATGATATAAGTAAAATCAATATTAATGATCCTTCAACATATCTCAGGATAGATTACATTTATTGTGGTGCCACTGTAGAAAGCATTTACCTGGATTATTCAACAAAAATTTCCCAGAAAGAATTGCAAGAATTTCGAGTAAAAATTTTAAATTTCTATGTTTGCCTTACAAAGCAGATGTTGCAGCGCTTTTTATCTTGTGAATTGTTTGCAAAACTGGAGTTCCTTGAGGCGTTGGACCCAGCTACTGTTATTGAGGGAAGGCCTAAATCAATTATCCCACTAGTTATGAAATTTTCTAACCTAGTCAATGAAGAACATTATGAACAAATAAATAAAGAATGGAGGGAGCTGACAATGCAAGATCAACCTCCTAATGCTGAAAAAATGCCTGAAAAATTTTGGTTTAGCATATGTCAAGAAAAATGCGGTGACAAATATCGCTTCTCTCTGTTGTCAAAATTTATGATCAATCTTCTTTCATTGCCTCACTCTTCAGCAGCTGCTGAAAGAGTTATCTCCTTACTCAACAACATTCAAGTTAAAAATCGCGCATCTATGAAAATGTCCACCTTAAATGCATTAATAAGATCTAAATCTTTACTTCAAGACATTAACTGCACGACGTGGAATCTACCAAAAGAGCTTTGTGATAGAATGCAACAAAAAAGATGGTATAGTAATGAAGCAGTTGACGAAAAAGTTCTCTTTTAACAAAATATAAGGTAAGTTGAATATATTTCCTCCATGTCAATGTTTTAGTAAGATGTAGTATAAGTTAAATGTATTTTTTCCTGTTTAAGATGTTTTATAGGGTTTATATATTGATGTTTAAAATTTGGTACGTTTGTGTGTGTTTTGGTACCTTTTCGTGAAAAGTTTGGTACTATTACAAAATAAATTTTGGCAGCCCTGCTCTGGAGGTTGATGTGGAACTCTTTCTATGGCTCCCTGTTGGAGAAGGGAGTCCACTTCTTGACACAGACTTTCCTCACGAGATTAGTCCCTGAACAGGAACTGGGAAGGCATTGACAGAAACACAATCAGAAATCTGTAGAGAATAAATTTCTAGCATCCATTTGCCCATTATGAAAATCTTCCAGCTGTGGGCAATCTGAGTACAGTGGCCTCCAAAACCTACGCATCAGGATGATGTAGCATCAATAAAAGGAAGCAGATTTCAATGAGTCTGTCTAAAAATTTGTCTGTGGGTTATTTTGTTTCTGTGGGTTACAGTGAATGTCACAGAAGCCATGTACCTAGATCTCTATACTTTCTGTCATTTGTGTGGTGAGTCCTGGGAGCAGTGGTGATGAAACAGTTGAGATGGTTTTGCTCTGTTCCTCTGTTTATGCTTCCTCTTAAAGGCAGGGGTATAGATATACAGAAGAATAAAGCTTTAGCCTCATGTTCTTAAGAGAGTTGAGTGATTCATCTGCCTTTTCAATGATCAACTTAAGTGTACCAAAGGGAAAATTGTGAATGGAAACTGTTTCTCTCTAGGGAAACCTGATGATTTAGATATCTGCTCCCATGATGAAGACCGTAACCATCCTTCTGGTTTGCAGTAACTATTGCTTTCACCAACCAAGGACTAGAACAAAAGTTTTATTTTAGAGAGAGTTTGTCCTTAAACCAATAATTCTGCTCAATTAATGGCACTGTATTTAGTTAGACGAGCTGGATAATTTCAAATAAATTCTAAATTGGAGAGAGGCAGAAAAGACTACCTTTTTCCCCTCAGATGTTTATCAGTTTGTCACTCTTGTCTAAGGGTGCAATTTTGGGGAGTTATAGTCTGGATCTTTCAGTGGCTACTTGTATCACCAAAGAGTTGGATGGTGGTGAGAGACTATAAACTCTGCACTCTCAGATGGAATGAAGAAGTGCATCACAGCCCTCTGCTGGGTGGGACTACAAAAAGCAGGCGTGTGCTACACTATCCTATCTGGATCCATGATGGCCTATTTGATTGGGCGAGCTGCCCGTCTGAGACCCAAGGGTTCCAAGATATTCAGCAATCCATGTGGAGGCTGATGAACCTTTTTAAGTTGTATCTAGAGCTCATTACCACTCTTCGTGGGAGCATCTGATGGTGAAGATGGGGTAACTGCCTCATCTAGGGAAAATGAAATTGCTACCAGAACCATCAGAACCAGTTCAACTTCATCTTCTATGTACTCAAATGGAGCTGGCTGATGTAGGCCAGGAGATAAGACAGACTCATGTACTGAACCCAGGACTGGGCTAGATGGACCTTTGTTCTGACCCAGTATGGCCGTTCTTATGTCAGCACGTGGGATATGGCTCAACAGGACTCCACAGCATAGATTACCACCTTTTTCTGAAAAATCCTATCTGTTTGGGCTTCTGATCTCTTGGGGCTTCTGTATGGTAAGGTGGGGGCTTATCTGGAACCCGCAACTCACCAGATGAAAAAATTGGATCCTAAATTACTAGCACAACCAACAACATCAATTATTAAGCGCTCAAACTCGCAGGTAGAAGAGAAACACGGTCTGACTCCTCAGAATAGCTTCCTCCTTTGAAGTAACTGGGTTTCTGTACAAAGACAGACCCAACAGACTGCTGCAAAGAGCAGGAGAGTAAAAATATCTTTCAGAGACATGTAAGTCCCAGATTTCCCCAGAACATGGTGCGAGTTACCTGGTGGAGCTGTCAGATGCAGTGCTCTTCTGGGTACAGTGGAGACAGACCCCCTGTGAGGCCATGACAATATCTTTGACGTCTAAATCAGACCCTGTAAAGGGAGTGGCAGAAGATCCCTAGTTTTGGTTTGCATGTTGGAAACAGTATCGCAATTGAGGGATCCATACTCCTTGCCACATTCTCCTGCTAAGGAGGTTTATTCTGGCAAAATCTATAGGATCCAAGTGCACACACTATCCTCTCTTGGAAGGAGTCGGGGCATCCTTGGAAGGAGGTTTGTCTCTCTGCTTTTAAGAAGTTTTCTTTGCTCTCATAAGATGCCTTCTCAGTCTTGAAAATCTTAGCCTCAACTTCTAAGCTCTTTTACTACCTGTTTACTGTGGCGGATGATCTCCCAGGCCCAGATCTGATTGAATATCTTGGGGTTTCTCCATCAGATGTTTTTTAAGTCTTAGCTCTTCACCCTCATGAGTTCTGGAAGGGAAGGAGGAGCAAATCCAATACTTCACCAAGATGTAAGTTTCACCTAGGCAACAACAGTCGGGTTGGTTTGTGTTGCTCACTGAAAAGCAACAGGGGCAAGAAATGTAATTTTTTAATTCTGAGACTCTAGACATAATCTAACTTCCTTTCCTGGGGACAGTGAAAATCAACTAACCAATCACACTAGTTCTTAAAACCATAAGAGTTAAATACTAAATTAATTTAAAAGATATTTGCAGATTGACACAATTCAAAAAGAAACTGGACACAGAAGATTGAGACTCAGGCCATGTGGCAGTAACAAGGAACTGGAACAATGCCAGTCTCCTTATACCGTTGGTTCAGAGCAAGAAGAACTGCATGTGTTATGGAGCAATGGACACGGCTTACTAAAAATACCTGAACTTAAGCTGCATCAGGCAAGATATTTCTAATGAAAGCAAGGCATGAGTGAGACCTCATCTGGAGTACTGTGTGCAGTTCTGGTCCCTAATGTTTAAGAAAGATGAATTCAAACTGGAACAGGTGCAGAGAAGAGCTACTAGGACGATCTGAGGAACGGAAAATGCACCTTCTGAGAGAAGACTCAGAGAGCTTGGTTTCAACCAAACCAATGGAAGGCTGAGATATCATTGCTCTCTATAAATTCATCAGAAGGATAATTATCAGGGAGAGCGAAGACTTCTTTAAGTTAACAGTCGACACAAGAACAAATGGATTATAAACAGACCACCAATAAATGTAGGCTTGAATTTAGAAAGGGAAAAAATGGGCCTGCTGTCTGTATAGATTTGGAATAAAAAAAACTCCTGATGAGCAGCCCAAGGAGTTGGCTCAGAGCTCAATAGTTGGTGTGCTTTCAGCTGTTATGAGAAAGATGAATTCTTGCACTGTAAAAACTTTTGGACATAGTAGAGACAGAAAATAAAAATTTCATTGGATCCAATTATATTGTACAGTATTACATACCTGCATTTTTTTCTCTTGCTCATTTTCACCTATCATTCCCGAGCTACTGACACTTTCATTTCCATCAATAGACACCTGAAAATAATATGATAGAAAAAAATTAACCAGTTGCTCTTCTTCACTGAATAATGCAAAAGACTCAGCGTCTGTGGGTGCACAGTGCACACTTATTCACAGCTCTGTTAGTCCTGTATCTTGAAACATGGCTACCATCTTATATGTTGGCTCTTAAAAAACCTTCAAAATTCCCACTGAAATCGCCTGTTACAACAAAAGCCATGTATAACAACTAAAGTGTAGAAATACTTAAGGTCGTGTTAAAATGAGGAGGACTAGCAAGGACCAAATTTGTCCTCAATTTCATTATATTGACTTCTGTCACGAAAGACATCAGTGAAGCGATTCATCAGTGAAGGGATGAATATTGTTCTAAATCTTTCTCATAACCAAACCATTTCTATCATTATTATGTTCATGGAGATCCGGTAATTTGTAGTAATGAGGACATGATGGCAAATTTAGAAGTACAGAACCAGATTGTTCCCTTACAATGTTCCCTTGGAGATGTTCCAAAGGCACAAAGGGACAGTAAAGCCAGCTTTTAACCAGACAGCAAAGGATTCCTCCAATTTCAGAGAATCCACTATCACAAGGGTCGGCAACCTTTTCAAAGCAAAGAGCCAAACTATATCAAAATTCAAAACAAGTGGTCAACAAAAAGCAGTATAGGAATGCCCACTTGCATGACTGACAATATACAACTTACTATTATTGATAACTGACATGATGATTAATAGCAGCATAAATGAAACATTGTACTCTCAGACTTTATTTAATGGGACTTCCGCTGCTACATCTTTTTGCGCATTTCTTTGAAGTTTACATCGTAACTGGTCTTCTGTCAATTTTATGGCAGGAGGCTGGGGATATGGAGGTATGAGGGACTCAGAGCAGTGGGTTTGGGTGTATGATGGGCTCAGGAGGCTGGGGTGTGGGGGGGGGCTAAGAGGGGCTCAGGGCAGGGGACTCAGGTGTATGATGGGCTCAGATTTGGTGTGTGTGTGTGGGCGGGGGGGGTTGTGCCGGAGTGTTACGATGCTGCGACCAGATGGGAGCTGGGCCCCAATTGGGGGCTTGTTGGCCAGGCTTCATTTATAAATAAAATAAAATAAAATAAAATAAAATAAAATAAAATAAAATATTATGCTAAAACCACAACTCAGTCTGGTAACAAATTTCATTCTAAGAAAGAAATTCAAAGAACAGTGAAAATATCAGTTTAATATTACTCACCCACACACAAAAATATGTGAAAAGAACAGTAAGTTTGTACTCAAAGTTAGGAAATGCCAGAATTAAGAATGTCTTGCTCTATGACCTCTTTGTCATTGCTATACAAGTACCAAAGGTTATCATCCAGGAGCTGATACACTGAAAGACTGAAAACATAAGAATATTTCTGCTCCTACAATTACTTTGTCCCTCATGTTTTATAGTTTTCTGTATAATGGAAGGTTTATCTAAGTAGAATTTCTGAACTGCTATGCTCCATTGCAACCTGTATGAGTAACTGTCAGCTTTACATTTTTATGATTAAAAACACCTCTTCAAAGGACCTCCTGCCAAACTCAGTTGCTGCCTAGTTACCACTCTTTCTTTTGTGCTTTATATCATGCCTCCAACTATCCACTGGATCTTTCCATTTTATACTCAAAACAAGATCAGCAAGCCCTGGTATACATTAGGGAGTTATTTTGAAATTATAAGTGAAACGTCCACACTATTTCAAAATAATGGACTGATTATTTTAGAATCTGTACTCCTGCTTTCCTCAGGGAAGAAGCTTATTTTGAAATAGTTATTTAGGGAGTTATTTCTTCAAATTCAGCTATTTCAAAATAATTTCCTAGTGCAGACATGCTCCAACACTGCACATCTTATCATCATCTCTTTGAAGAGAGTCACTTTACTCTTTCACACTTTCAAATTATTTTCTTGTCATGAGCATATCTCCTATCAGCAACTTCTGGCTGGGAAGTAATCTTCTCTTACCTGTTTAATCACCTCTCAAAGTCAGCCTGGCTTTGAATCAGGTCATTATACAGTGTGCTCTACTTCATGGGGTCAATGTCTACTTTACAGTTTTCACAATAAATCTCTCATACTTCTTATCCTACTTAATATCAGTATCATTATTTTCTATTCAATTAATATTCTAGTCTTGAGTGTTTTGAGTAAAAAGGTGGTATCTCTAATATTTTCCCTTTTTGCCCAGAATCCTACTTTCTATCTAGTCTTCATTTCTAGTGGAGGCTATTTACCTAACCCTCATCCTTTCTACTACTAATTGTTTGTCTACTTCTCCATAGAAAAGGGATGGGCAATATTTTTAGATGGGGGAACACTTCAGAAATTTTTGAAGAGGCCTCAGGCAGCCCCAAAAGGGACGGGGCCTCTGGTAGAAGGGTGGAGCCAGAACACTTCCTTGCTTCCCCGCCCACAGACCCTGATTGGCTTGAGGTTGGGGGGAGTGGTGAAGTCTTTGCCCCCATCCTCTCGGAGAGAACTGCCAGCTGTTCAGAACAGCTGGCGGTTTCCTCTAGGCGCCTGCGCCCCTGGTGGCAAGAGGAGACTTGGCACACTCCCCTCATCCCCAGTTCAATCACGGCCTGGGAGCGGGAGCAAAGTCTCCTCCCGCCCTGTCCCCATCCTGAAAGGGGTGAGTGGTACTTAGAGTCAACCCTAGGTATTGACCAAGTACTGCGCACCCCTGGTGGAAGAGGAGATTTCGTGCACTCTCCCCCTCCCCCGGCCCCAATTGGCCTGGAGGCAGGGTCGGGGCAGGATGTCCATGGGCCGTAACAACATGCTTGGCAGGCCAAATCCAGCCTACGGAGGCCCTTTTGCCCTCCCCTGCCATAGAATTATAGAGTCAGGGACATTTCACTAGATCTTTCAACTCTGGACAAAAAAACTCTCATCATAACAACAACCAGCTCTGTATCTCCTTTAGCTCAATCCCCAGTTGTCTTATTTTTCATCAAACTGTCTGTCTGGACTCTGACCAATTCAGATTATATCTTAATTTCTTGTCCCAAATACTCTGCTTTGCTCTCTTCCATATGTTTGCTATCACTCTACTTAACCTCAATGACAGAAAAACTGACTCAACCTTCACCTCATGCTGTTTCATCTATTCCATAAATCAGTGGTTCCCAACCTTTTTTATGCCATGGACCAGCAAACCCATTCACAAACTTTTGGCAGACTGGTAACATTTTGTCTGCCTATTTTCATATTCATTAAAGAAACTACATACAGATAAAAGGTCCTCTAATGTACCTTGGCTGCATACTGTTCCAAAGCACTGATGGTATCTGGATCAATTGTAGCATCTCCCGTATGGAGGCCTGCCACTGTGCCATCAGCTTGAATAGCTAAGATGGTATCTGACTGTGGCATTTGAACTGTATGGTGAATGTAAGCAGTGGTTCCATCTTCCAGCTGAACTGCCTGTAATGCACTCTGATCATAACTGTCTGAGAAATAAAATTAAAAACACTGTTAAGACCAGGAACGAATATCAGAATCTGTATTTTTCCAATATAGTGGCATCAGATACATGAAATTATCATCAGATTGAAATGCCACTGATGAGCAGAATAGTTTAGAAAATTGCTATCAATACCACAGACTGAACTTGTAAATGAGCACTTACCCAAAATATTTCTATTTCTGTCCACTTACAAAGAGTACTACAATTAACCTGTTACTCACGAATTATGACACTGCACACTTTGAAATTTCTAGTCTCTAGTTATCGATTGTTGATATTCTCAGATTTAGAATGTGTAAACTTGTTTCCTGTACGCTAAGAAAAATTATTACCTACTTTCTATAACTATTGTTCTTTGAGAAGTGTTGCTCGTGTCTATTTCATTCTAGGTGCAGGTGTGCCCACATGAACAGTCATTGGAAACTTTTGCCTCAGTGATATCAATAGAGTTGGCTGTGGCACCCCTTTGAGTTCCACACTCATGCATCGGTATATCAGCCACCACCAACCAAGGTTCTCTCTAAGCTGCACAAAAGCACAGCCCCGCAGCTGCTTAATAGAGCTGCCTGGCTGGGGGAGGGGCACTTCTCCCTCAGCTACAGAAGCAGCAGCTCCCTGAAGACAGAACAGCGAGTCTCTCCCAGCCGATAGGGACATGTCCCCTCCCTACAGGCTGGGAGAGACTCGCTGCTCTGTCCTCAACAGGGAACTACTGCTGCTGTAGCTGAGGGAGAAGTGCCCCTCCCCCAGTCAGGCAGCTCCGTGCAGAGAGCCCTGAGCTCCTGGCTGGGCAGGGCTCATTAAGCAACTGCAGTGCTGTGCTTTTGTGCAGCTTAGAAAGAACATTGGTTGGTGGTGGGTGATATACCTATGCATGAGTGTAGGTGGGGCTCATTAAGCAAGGAACTGTAGATACCATTTCATATTCAGCTAGAAGCCATTCTGTATAACAAAAGCCATTTCAGTTTCTTGTGTCTGCCTGGCCTTCACCGAGGTGGGGAGAGACCAGAGGGATGCGCTGTTGGAATGTGTTAATGAACTATTTTGAGCTGAAGCTCGAACTCCCTTTTAACCTGTTTCTTTCTATGCTGATAATAATTCCTCTTTGAAGTTCTCTTTGATTTCTTGCCCTGACGTCAGACTTGTTTGGTTAAGGGTATAAAATACTAGGATTGATTGTATTAGCCAGCCTTACTGGGCCCGACTTTGCTGGGACCACGTTTGGCTCACTTTGCTTTTATTGGCCAATAAAACTGTCTGTTTAGCCTCGTAAACTGAGTGAGGCGTTTGCTTCGACAGAACCTTGCCATCAACCCTGTGTTCTCAGTTCCTTCTTTCCAGCAACTAAAACAGAAGATGAGGACGGATAATGGACATGGAAAAACAAGGAAGGAGGACAATCCAGGAAACTATAGATTGGTCAGCCTCACATCAGTCCCTGGAAAAATCATGGAGGTGACCCTCAAGGAATCCATTTTGAGGCACTTGGAAGAGGGGAAAGTGATCAGGAATAGTCAACATGGATTCACAAAGAGCAAGTCATGCCTGACCAATCTGATTAGCTTCTATGATGGGGTAACTGGCTCTGTGGATATGGGGAAGACAATGGATGTGATATACCGTGACTTTAGCAAAACTTTTGATTGGATAAAGGGACTGTAAAGTGGACAGAAAACTGGCTATATTGTCAGGCCTAACGGGTAGTGATCAATAGCTCAATGTCTGGTTAGTGGTCAGTTTCAAGCAGAGTGCCCACAGGATCAGTTCTAGGGCCTTTTTTTTCCCCAACATTTTTATTAATGACCTGGATGAGGGGATGGATTGCACCCTCAGCAAGTTTGCAGATGACACTAAGCTAGACAGAGACGTAGATGCTTTGGAGGGTAGAGACAGGATCTAGAGTGGAGGATTGGGCCAAAAGAAATCTGACGAGGTTCAACAAGGACAAGTGTAGGGTCCTGCACTTGGGACGGAAGAATCCCAAGCATTGTTACAGGAAAAGGCCTGGGGATTACAGTGGATGAGAAGCTGGATATGAGTCAACAGTGTGCTCTTGTAGCAAAGAAGGCTAATGGCATCTTGGGGTGTATTAGAGGGAGCATTGCCTGCAGATCCAGAGAGTGAGGGGGGATTTAATAGCAGCCTTCAGTTTCCTGAAGGGAGGTTCCAAAGAAGATGGAGAGAGGCTGTTCTCAGTAGTGAGGGATGGCAGAACAAGGAGCAATGGTCTCAAATTACAATGGGGGAGAGCTCCTTTGGATATTAGGAAAAACTATTTCACCAGAAGGGTAGTGAAGCACTGGAATGGGTTACCTAGGGAGGTGGTGGAATCTCCATCCCTAGAGATTTTTAAATCTTGGCTTGACAAAGCCTTGGCTGGGATGGTTTTGTTGGGATTGGTCCTGCTCTGGGCAGGGGGCTGGACTCAATACACTCCTGAGGTCTCTTCCAGCCCTAGGATTCTATGAGCAACACATCTTGAACACATACAGAAGACATGTAACCATTTTTATTTCTTTAAATGCTTGCTCATATCAACTCCATTCTAGGTGACTCACAAGCAGCTTCCTTGGAGCTGGGCTCTGAATTCAGTTTTGCAGTTCTGCTCTACCAAAACCAACATCATTCCAGACCTGTTGCACAAGTGCATAATGGGACATGAACACGTGGTCGGACAACCAAATGGCCACATACACATCCCAGATAAGCATTAGGGACAGGAAAGCTGTCAATGAGGTTTGCACACTGGTTGAATAGGTGGTCACAATCAGAGGTGACACCCTTGCCTGCTTATAGCAGCAGTGAATACAGTTGGTGACTCAAAAAGGAAGTCTTTGAGCAGACACCAGATGACCAATCAGTTGGTCACTGACACAAACAGCTGCATAGATCTGCAAATGGCTTGGTCCGTTCAAGGCTAGCCCTTCAGACATCTAAGGAATGCAGTCTACGCTCCTCTTCCAACTTATGCTGTTTTGGAAAAAAGACAGGTAGTTAAATGTCCTGGCCCATTGGAAACTGAGAGATCACTGTGAGATAGGAGGCCAAGTACAGATGCAGTCCAATATTGTCCTTATAAAAAAATATAGGACGGATCTGAGAATAGTACCCTAAACTCTGAGACTCTGTGAGCTGAAGTTACTGCAACCAGAAATATGACCTTCCAAGCCAGAAGCTTGAAGAAGAGTGCTGTAAGTCAGTATTACATAAGATTTAAGTCCCATCTTTGTTTGGAATAAAATTTGTTATCCCCCTGAGTCTGCAGTCCCATCATAGCATGGATGAAACTGTGGAGCTAGAACAACTGTGCATTTTGGAACTTGGATGTCAGAGGATGTGGCTGCCATGCTCCCTGGATGACCAGACCAAGGGGGTTGTGAGGAGGGAAGGTCTCATCTTTCAGTGAAGCCCTTGGCCCTGAATCACAAGATCTCTTGCTTCCAGGTAGACCACAGTGGGGTGGAAGGGTACTGCACAGAAGAACCAAGGGAGGACGCCCCATCTCAGCTGAAGAAATGGGCATAGGGAACCGTAGTCGTGCTGTAGCACACTCCAGCAGGGAGAGAATTAAAAGCAAGCTGGAGGAAGCCTGCACAAACCTGGCCATTCAGGGCAAGGAGTGGTCAATCAGGGCCAGGCTGAGCTATATAAAAGGCTGGAGAGAGGAGAGGAGCTCACTCTTGTCCTGACTATCAAGGCAGAAGGAGCTAGGTTCTGCCAGGGGAGGGAACCATCAGCACCTTGGACAGAGCAGTGCTGAGCAAGCTTCAAGGAGCCAGAGAAGCTCCAGACAGATATCTGCCAGGCTGTAGGCCTTGATACAAGAGCCAAGAAGGTGCAAGGGTCATGGGGAAGTGGCCCAGGGAACGGAAGCAGAAAAAGCAGAAAAAGGAAGAGATGGTGGGCAGGAGATAGCTGCCAGCAGAGAGTCCCTAGGTTGGGGCCCAGGTTAGTAGATGGGCCTTGGTCCCCCCCTTCCCTCTTGTACCACACCTAACCACACTGAAGTGTGGCCTATAAAACTGCATCTTGCTTGTGAGGAAAGAGGCTAGGCTCTGGGACTGCAGTTGGCTAAAGTGGTAAGTTAAGGGCTGAGGACTGCTGATACCCTCTCAGAAGGGGACAAGAAGGGAGAGGTGGCACTGCCAGAGGGTAGTGTCCTGAAATGGACACTGCTGTACAGGGAGCAACTGGGTCCACTGAGAGACAGAGTGATGATGGGCGAGACACTGGCCTGCAGGAGATACACTCCATGGACAGAGCTAATTCCTGGTGTGACCAAGAGGAGGTGCTGCAACAGCGAGTCAACCCTGTTATACACACTTTGAACAAATAAAATTACAGAGAATATATGTGCATTGCAGAAAGTACCAAGTAGTAATAACAACAATACATGTATTGGGAGGTGAGTGTGAAAGACTCAGAGTGTATGATACAAAGATGATGCATCTGAGAGTTTAAGGGTATGCGTGTGACGCACACACACAGACTGTCAGCTGGCTACTGGGGAAGTCTCAGAGAGCTTGCACTGTCTCTTTAAGAAAGGCACTCACTCACTAGTGGCTAGAATCGTTCAGACTTTAGATCATAGTAGCTCCAAGTCCTGAGCCAAGCTGTCCCTCTCCCCTTTCTGTGAAGATTGGGCATGAAGAGGACAATCAGCCACTCCTCTCTCCACTCTGCACACCCAGCAAGTGGGTCTTGGGAGCAGCTGCAGGAGCAATAAGGTTGCAAAGCTGTGGGGGGAAGGGCATCTGAACATATGCTGCTGGATATGTGTGTTCTGCTAATCAAGTATGTGGCACCTGAAACTTTCCTGGACAGCTGCCCAGCCATGCGAATTAGAGGGAACACAGACTGGGTCCCTGATGTGCAGGTAGAGGCACCCAAGGCCCTTGAGGAACTTGGCAGTCATATTTTGGGCAAAAACCAACCTGCCCTTGAACAGTAGATAGAAAGCCGAAATAGCAGCCAGACAGACCT